ATGTCATCAGCCCCAGGATGAGCAGAAAATTGTTATCTAGAGCAGCGGTCTTCGAGTCCCATGGTCCTAAATAATACAAATGTCCCAAATAACAAATAAATAAAATTTGAGGTTCGTACTCATCCGCAAAGTTTTAACTACGGCGTTGTGTTCCTATACGCTTCGCCCCTAAAGCTCATAATACAAAACTTATATCAGGAAACATGTGCCGTAAGCTGCTTGTTACCTTCCAAGCTTACAGTCAGTAGGCGCAAAAATAACACCCCCGTCAAATAGGTTGATCTGGATAGCGCGACCCCACATTTTACATTTTTAACTTGAAAAATATTTGTTCGACGGTTCCGGTCCTTCCAACACCGCAAAAAGGTCACTGACCACGGCACTGAATTGTCACTTAAATGCTTCCGATTCTATTCTTAAGTCTGGACGTAAGTATAACAGCTGTTGAGATAAGCCCCGGAAGGCCGACGCTATGAAAACGCCTCAGGTAATACCGCCGCCGCGCGGTATGGCCAACACGCCGCGCTTCATTTTTCATTCGGCATTTTATGAGGACTGCATACGTGCTGTTCTGATAAAAAGCCGACTGGAAAATTCCTGATGTGCTGATGTGCTTTGACGACGCTTTGTAGAAGCGGTCATATCGCATGACCTCATGCGAAAAGCGGAATATCACGGTACACTCCAAAGCCGTTTCATATAGTTGGGCTTTGATAACGTCAAAAGTTGCAATACAAATGGGCCCAAGTTTTGCAAGAGGGTCTTCAAGAGCCTAGAGGAATGTAATGGTTGTGATTGTGGAGATGGCCGGGGACCGGGGCGTGCTCCGCCGGTGAAGCCGAATCGGTAAGGCCTTGGAACTCGGGGATTTCATTCGACCCATGGGAAAGTAAGCTTCAAATTGCATTACTCATAGAGGAGGAGAGGGAGATTGAACAGGCAAAACTGAAGCGTAACAAAGAGGAGAGGCTTTGGACAGCGTAACGTTACTCCCAGGTGTAGTTCATCATGATTTCTTTTTGCAAAAGTGAAATCCGGATGCCCCTGGCTGCCTCACATGGCAAGCAGCGCGCCCGTTGTTGTTTCGCAGCTCCAACTCAATCGTGGGCGAAACGGACGTGCCATTTTTCGGACGTTGCACTTACCGCAGCGTAACCACGGGTAAGAAAGCTCTCACCTAACGCAATCAGTGAGTAATAAGGGGTTGGGAGGGTTAACGAATGTCCAGTATTGCGTGACGCAATTTGTAGATGGCCTGCTCGAGATACCAGAGTAGAACTACATACCAACACCACCGCATTGGCACTGAAGTATTAATTCTTAGATCGAAATTGAAGTGCTGCGCTGCAGCTATCCCATCATTTTCAAATCGCGTCATACTGCCTTATGGAATACGATTGTTATGAACGTGACCTATAAGAACGTGACAGGCAGGCTGGGCGTGAATATAATTAAGCCGTTGACGGTCATCTCACGCCAAAGAAATCTCGTCGGGTTTGGTCGGCAAAATCTGACTGGTCGAATGACATGTCCAGCGTTCACTGTCCGCTCTAGTGAGGTCGAAGTTAGGGCACATGTTTATTTGGTGAAGTGAAGGCACCGGGCCCGCCCAGCCCGGCCCGCCGCGCTTTTCACTAAGTTATCTCTTTGTAATCACCTGTTAACTGAATTAGTGAAGTAAAGACACCGGGCCAATCCGGTCCGGCCCGCCGCGCTTTTTACTAAGTTATCTCTTTGTAACCACTGTGTACTGAATTTTACCGAATTAGTGAAGTAAAGGCACCAGCCGATCCGGTTCGGTCCACCACGCTTTTTACATAGCTATCCCTTTGAAAACTGAGTACTGATGGTGTCGGCATGGAAGGTGTTCGTCGTAACAAGCAACGCAGTTTTCCAAACGTTGTGCTATAGTTATGTTTTCAGGGCGCTTTACTTGCTGGTAATTTGATCAGGCGGCGTATTTTTGCAACGTTATGACCTCGCCAATACTCTGCCTCCCACATAAACAGAAAACCTCACCTATCCAAAAGCATGATAACCTTCTCAAGCGTAGGTAACGGTAAAAAGCCGATAAGCGCTGGTCGGGAACAGATCCAGATTTCAGGACCAGGTGTCGAAGCGGCATGAGCCCAGCCGGTGCTGACGGAGCAGATTACAGACAGTCGCACTGGCAGCAGCGTGGGTCGATGTGTGCAGTGCATTGGACGCGGTCACATGCGAGCCATGGATCGACCCCTGAATGGCTTAAGTCGATTTGAAACTCGAATGGAGGCAGACGATGTAGCGAATGCGATGAAAGAAGAAAAGTGAGTTTCAACATTCAAACATGGTTACGGAGAAAACAAAATTGTTATTGTTACAAAAGTCTTAACTTTTATATTGCATGTGTCCACGCCTGGAATGCAGGTGCATGTCTGCTTGGAGAGAGTGGGCACGTACGGAGATATAGCTCTTGCTCAGCGCTATATTTAAATTTATTGAGTACAAAAATGAGACTCAAGTACATGATCATGAACAGGTGGGTCAACAGGGAGATGCAATTACTCCAGTAACGCATCAGGTCCTTTGGGTTGTGCTAGTTGGGTGATGCTATCCAAGTGGACTGCATGCCGGCTTCTCGATCCTTGTTTTGCTAAGCTGCTTACCAACATCGATAATCATGCATGGACGTGGCTCATAATAGTGTTCACTCACAAGCACAACCAGAGGAACAACACACTGCACAATAACAACTTCGGATCATTATTTGACACAAGTCATTTATTGGTATAAATTTCCGTTTTCCAGTTCATCATGCAAAGTGCATCCACTTTGCTGCACTTTTGTTGTTCATTTCAAGTGTGCTTTGTATAATGCATTCCCGCCGTAGATTCGGTCAGAAAAAGGAATGACAGGTTGGCAGCGTTCGCATTACGGGCTCGTCTCATGCCCGCAGGGTGTGGGGTTCGAGCCTGGCGCCCTGCAGAGTTTTACCGTCCCGCGCCAATCGGAGATTTTGACGCTAACTAAACTCAGGTTTTAATTTTGTCGTGACACCCCAATCACGGCCGATGGAAACACTAGTACTGCACCAAGGCCATCTCTGGGGGATTGTTGGTAATGGTCCTCGGTATCATGACTTACAATAAATCCACTTTTGTCACTATTTTGGAGAAAATCAGTGATCAGCCTGAAGCGAAACACTTTCAAGATGCCATCTAGATCAGTAACAAGTCAATTTTATACGCGGTAAAAATCCTGCCCTGGGTGGCGAGATGGGGGTGTAACCACAGATTATCATTAGAATGCTATCTTATCATTTACTAACCGACAACATACCACTACAAACTATGCCATCGGACACATCAAGCCGAACAATCATTGCAATTGTGATACATGATTGCGAAAATCATGGTGCTAGCGTTTGTAATGTTCTACATCTTGCACCAAACGTCCTTCTCATCATCCCCGTAGATGTTGGATGACGGTTGTGGCGGGCTAACGCACTAGCTTCTATGAGTTGCCTCTCATCGCCATCATCACGACTTTCACAGTCATCATCGCATGATCTGTTGCCGCGAGTGCCACGACTGGCACCCATTCCTGGCTCATGAACTGAATTTCTGCAGTCAGGAATCACACGCCCACTCGCACGCCAAGGACAACGTGAGGAATCTTTTAACGCAAGTTACCCATATGCGATTAACGTTTTATTTTTGATCAAAATGAAGCTCATTAGCGGTCCCTCCAGACGAAACTAATTCCTTGGTCAGGCCCTTGATTGGCGTAACAGCCACCTAGCGTTGACTGACCTCTGCATTCGTGTCTGCAGTGACAGCTGAGCTGCATGGATGGAGCTACTCACGGAGACGGGGTCTCTGGCCAGGCAGCTATCGCAGTAAGCCGGGGAACAGTATCTGCATCGCTTGCGCGTCATGCAGTCAATTGCGGCATGCGCGAGCAGTAAATCGATCAGGCATCAGTCCTCACTCTGGCAGGCATCCCCACAGACATCAGTCCTCACCCGGGCAGGCATGCCCACAGGCATCAGTTCCCACGCATCACACCCAATATGGCACTTACGCAAAACAAAGGAAGCAAACTTACAATCCGTGTTGAAGCGCGTGGCAGACTTCACGAGCAATGTTTCCTTACATAATTCACCCGATACCCTTGAGCTGTGTAGATATCCGCTCCCTGCCCATTCGCAGTCAGTTGTGCACACTAAAATGCAAGTACCTTTAAAACCCAAGTGTATATTCGTATGTGCCCCGAACAGATAACAAATCGAATTGCTGAACCCTTCATTAAAAAAATAATTTACCGTAGTGGTGAAATAAGGCGCAAACACATCACTTCAGAGAGCTGTGAATGAATGAGGACTTCAAGCGCATCCTTGCAGTCAATGCTGCGCAGGTTGCTGGGAGAGCCATGAACGCGCTTCAGCCACGGCAGAAGCCACAAAAAACGTTCTTCAGTTTTTAGGCTTACCACTAGTAGTGGAACAAGGCTTTCGTCAAGGGAGTGGTCATGCCTCACTTTGAAAGCACTTCACTGGAACTTGGTGCCCTCGAACTTTTACATATCTCCTCTGGCAAAATTTCCTCGTATTTTGACCACTTCTTTTTCAGATCTCTATTTTCTTATGAGGAAACTGTGGTCCGCTGTGCACTGTGGAGGGCTAGACATAGGTATATGTGTATGTCCATGGCGCGCGCTCATCTTTTTCCAGAGACTAATGAATCTTTCCAATAATATTTCACAGACAATATATAGCAAAAGGAGCCATATATGCCATGAAATAGCATCTCATTTCATAGCATGTATATGAAATAAGATGATTGCTGCTAAATCTAGGCAAACTGCTAAATACCATCAGTCAGGCACAACAAGACCCAACTGACAAGCTATCGTCAACTTACCTACAACGATCCTCAACAGAAAACTGCCTTTTGTAGGTCGCTAACACTACAGTAAATGACTGTGCATCACTTGGGGCCTTACAACGCTACTGAGACTTTATGACTGGCACCCGCCTGGGTACCGCGAGAGGAATCGAGCCCCACAGTAAATGGTTCAACGCAATGGAAATGGCTTGTACACCATGTCTAAAGCGTAGTGGCAATCACCCTGATATGTCATGACTCGAACATTGAAATGTTGGTGGTGACGGAAAGCCGTGAAGGTATCAAAATTCGTAGACTATGACACAATATGCTGTCTTGCAGTCAACCACACCGACGCCAAATACTCCATAATTACGCCAAACATTCCATGCTGTCTATGTCTTGGCGGAAAAGGTTAAACTTCCTCGACGAAATTATAAAGTCACAATCGGCGGAAAGAACCCCGGTCCGACAGACGCGCAGCCACACGGGTGCGCACACTGACCCGTACCGCACACCAATCTTCCGACCGCGTATGGACGCCGCTCTCGGGTTGGCCCGCGCCGGGCGTGGTCGGGAGAGGTCACAGGGCCGCCTCCGGCGCTATAGCAGGGTCGACGCCAGCACCGGGGACGGAGTGGGGGTCGGGCAGAACCCTTCACACATGCCGCCACCCGATCTCGTCACGTTTGCCCCTCGCGTCGCGCCGACTTCGCAGCGGTGGCGGCTTCCTCTGTTCGCGGCTTATCTGCCTCGGGATCGGCGCCGACCCGTGCCAGCGGTGGGGGAGGGGGGGGGGGGGGCGACCGGCCGCTTCGGCCCGAGGTTCCACCGGCGGCCAGTGCTCACCACGCGAGCGCCCGGCACGCGGGCCAGCGACGCCTCCCGCCGCGCGACATGGGCTCCGTGACCGTGCTGCTGCGGCCGCTACCGCTGCTGTCGCTGTTGCTGCTGCCGCCGTTGCTGCCGTGGGCTACAGCTGGGTCGCGCTCCGTCTGGACGCACGCGCCGGGTGCGGCCGGTCTGGACCAGACCTGCACGAACTGCAGTGACTGGGAGCTGCAAGCGCTCGAGCTGGTGAAGCAGAGGATCCTGGATCACCTGGGGCTGAAGGAGCCGCCGCGCAAACCGTTCAAAGCGCCGTCCGGCCTGATGGCCCCCGTGCTCCGTGAGTGGCGCCAGATGAACAAGCACAAGCAACTCCCGTTCATGGACGACGCTCAAGAAAGCGCCCGCAGGCAGGCCGTGATCATCGTGGCCACGCGCAGTGAGTAGGCGCTGTGCGCTGACCCTCGGCAAACGTCAGAGCCGCCTTACCGAGCTGTGGCGTGCGGTTAACGCCACGCCCGGCCCACAAAGAAAACGCGCCGGCAGTCAAACTGCGACGTGTCTTGGATGGTTTATTAATTTTTTTTGGCGGGAAATGAAAAGTGCTCCGCAACGCATTCTAGCTTCACTCAGGGAAGGTCCGCGTGTAGGCTGATAAAGCCAAGACTGCGACGCAGCTAGGCATAGTGGTGTGTTTTAACTGCGGCAGGCTGCTCCATCTGACATGCTGCTAACGCGCGCGCTTCACTGACGTGTCACACGCCTGGATGTACCAGGAACAACGGGCGGTCTGAGCCCTGGGGCTGAATGCCAGTTACAAAGTCGAACGGAATGCTCATGCAACCCTCAGGACTAAGTTTAGGACATTCAGTGCTGTGGAAGAGATGTGTATGAAGTATGTTAAAGGGCAGGCCGAGCCATTCCAATCCACTGCCTTTATATCACACTAGGGGAGGGAGTGGGGGCAAGCCTGTCAGGAGGATCCAAAGCTCCAACATTTGCCGGGCATAAATGGCTCTATCCCTCTTCCAATCGCTCACACATCCCGGTAAAAGCTGGCAGTGCCTGCTTTGCGTGCTACCGTCAGCCGGCAGCACAAGCCCGTCGTGTTGCTGAGGTGGAGGGAGACGACCGAGCCGGCCGCGGCTGGAGTTCCCATCACTTGACGGCCCGAGGGGTAGGGGTCACGAGTTTCCGTCGGCCCGACGCTGGCCAGCCGGGGCGCGGCGGGCTTCCATCTTTATCCCTCGCTCAGCAACGAGCCACCACATGCAATGCTAATAGAGCTTCCCTTCCCAATATTTGTCGGACAAGAGCTGTCTGTTACCTGCTGACAAGTAGGCGCAGACATGGCAGTAACCATGCCATAAATGTTACATCGCCTCGTTTCTCCTTTAGTACTATTTTTATATTGTCATAACACGAGAGCAATCCAATCTGCTCGAATGTTCCTGAGTCCGGGCCCCACCGGCCCCTACGGAGGTTACGTTCACGTGCACAGGTGCATAGCTACTGATGCTTCGGCACAGCATGTCATTCTGGCTCCTTTCCAAAGACAGCTGAACAGCCTAAATGAGCCTCTCTCACGGACTGCGATAACTGCGGTGTTATCTATCTGCTTACACGTTACCATATTGCTATGTTTCAGGCATGTTCCGCCTAGAACTTGTAATAGCTTGGATGACTCGCGGCGCCCACGTCTGTGATGACTCCCGACTCCGGGCGGTGATGAGTTCCCTGCACGAAAGCTGCGGTCGTGCCATGACTAGCCGGCCGCCAGCTAAACCCGGACAATCGGCCATCTGTAAACAAGCTCCGGGATAGTCACGGCATAGTCGAGTTCTGTGTAATCTTTCGGCGAAAGAAAAAAGAGTTCGGCTGTTTCATCCTTCGGCGAAAGGAAGAGTTCAGCTGCTCCATCCCGGTCGCTTTCGTGCAATACTTTTATGACATCGAACTTGCGGCCCTGTAATTCTTAGTGGATGCGTGCTCACCGCTTCCAAGCCACTTCATTTTTATTTTTATCGGAAGGGTCAGCTTAACACCTCAGAGCCACGTTCTCTTTGTCGGTGCCATGACCGTCGTATTTCACGTTCAGGTGCCGATAAAGTGCGTTGAACTTGAAATATGTGTGCTCAGGGGTTTTGGGCATTTACTGTATGCTACCGCGTGACGCGGCGATACAGGTTTGCGAAGTTTTGGTAAGTCATATCGAAAGTCAAAGTACATCAAATACGCCCGCTGAGGGCACCCATACGGAAATAAGTTGTGAAGTTTCACGACCTATTGTAACATATGTTAGGTGTCATTAACGGACTTTCTGATGCCGCTTGACATTGGAAACCGTCGCTGTTTGTTTGGCTGTTGTAGGTACCACATGACTTGATATATTTGGGTGGAGCCCTATACACCCAAGGCACGATTTGATTTAACATAGTGGGCACCACGCCTACCGGTGGGCTACGATCCGCGCAAGAATCCTTGCTCCCGGGGCGGTAAGAGTTATCCAATGTCGTGGAGCACACGGTTCTGCAAATAAAAAAGGCATAAATTAATGACATTTACCCCTGTTGACGTGGTTGAGCCTACACAAGGTAACCTGTACCGATGTTCAGTGACTTCTATTAAAACGGTTTTGCGCTAGACGTCCGATGCCGCGTTCTACATGGCATCGTCATGCATACTTTTGACGTAGCAGGGGCCTGCGAAGCCCACTGGCACGGAAAGGCAAGGAAACGGCCCGCCATGCGGTTGTGAAAGCTGCGAGACGGAGGCGGTGTCGACCTTACCGCCCCGACAGTGGGTGGGCTAGGCCCCGTTTGAAACCGATCCTTGCCGTGCGCCACCGTATATCTAACAGTCAGCTGACGAAACGTGGAAGGGGTTGCTGCTAGTTGGGCAGGCCATGTTATCTCAACAGAGTCCGGGCGGGTTATAAGGAATGTAGATGCAGCCTGGCCAAGCTTCTGTTTTCAAGCTCCGTGAACAATAATTGAGCGTTGTGATTCGAAAACTTTAACAAAGTCAAGCGCTTTTTGGATTGATACCTGATTGTTGTCCCTTGATGCATGCAGTTTTGCATTTTTTTAACAACCCCTATCCGACATGTACCACCACGATTAGAGTTTAGGCGCATATCTGTACAGTCCTGCGATGTGTACGATTCAAATTTTTGAAAACGAATGAAATAGTTAATGAAAAAATCGATGCTGCGCTGAACTTGTTTGCGTCGTGCGAGCAGGAGATTACCATAACGACGTAAGGAACAGTTTGAAAACTTGCTTCTAGAGAGGATGCCGAGTTTCATCAGGACACCTGAAATGTAGTAAATGTAAGTCACGTTCCTACAATTAGCGGGAACGCCCTACCGCGACGGCGATATGTGCCCCATTGCAAAATCAGCTGCCGGTCCTCGGCCAGGACGATAAAATGCACCTTTACCACGCATCGGCAAGCAACACGGACACAATGCTTGATCTTGGCACAAAAGGAAAGGTTTTTGTGCAAACTGGTTTTGTTTAAAAATGTTATTAAATTGGAGCATGGTAAATATAAAAAGATCAAATCTTATCCAGCTCGTTTATCTTGAATGGAATCTTTCGGGATTATCGCCAATCCTTATTTACCCTTGGTCACAATATTGTCTGACCCAGGCTGAAGAAAGGATGGCGATTATGCTGAAAAATCCCGTTCAATACAAACAAGACAGTTGAAATGTAATCCCTTTACACTCGCCAACGCGTTTCCAACTCTGATATGTGCGCCGCGGTCCTTTCTTTGTCCGATGTCCTCTGACTGCTCGGCAGTTTCCAGGACATGACCGCATGTCTGATCGGTATGCAGCATATGTATTTCAAATCAGCGAGGTGGATGATGTAAATGCACATTTGCTTTGCCCCAGCCGTAGGGGAGAGGAGGGAAAGCTGTAACAGTTTTATTCTGAGCTCCCTCCTGCTATATTTCGTGAGGATATGAATAAGGTCCTTAAATCTGCAGACAGCTTTGACCTCCAGCGTTGTATGTAACGGTAAAGTTATCTAAAGCACGTCTTCATTTCTTGGTTAATGACGTGCGAATTAGTTCCTTTCAAATGGCCGCAGCTCACCTCACCTTGGGGTAAAATGTATCACATAGTGAGGAAGGTTGCGCTCATGTTTTTCCTTGTCATAGAGTAAGTTGCATCGCAAGCAAGTTGCATGCGTTGTGACATGTTGACTGTTGACTAAATGCACTCGTCTGTACCATTTCGCAATTTGTCGTGACTGCGGCATAATATATCCTCGCCCTTTTCATCAATCGGTGCTTGCTTTACGACTGCTGCCACCTCGGTCTCGGTCGCTCGAGCAGAAATTGTGAGTCTGCATAGGTAACGTAAATATCGACTTGTTTTCTGGATGTCAATAAGTCATGACGATCATGTCAGTCAACCATTGCCCGTAAATCAGGTAATTGCACGCTTTCGGCACATCTCGTCACTGATGCAGCGTGCCCCATGCACAGCTGAAGCAGCATGCACCGCCCGACGTCTTGGAAGAAAGTTCGCACTAGGGGTGAAGAAGTTTGGAACAGCATTAATGGTCACTGGAGTTGTATTTATCAGAAACCGTTACAATACAACTATAAGCACGATAAAAACACATGAAACAATAACAAATAAAGCGCTATAAACATCATAAGTATTTATGTGGTTGAGAGAACACAAGACAAAATATACAGTAGGTCCTGTATTGTCATTTTCACCTTACACAGACGGATAGCATAATAATACGCAGTTTCATACACACCTAAGCAACATTTGCCGGTCCTGCCAAAAGTCCCAGTGGTTAAGGCGTCGGTATCAGTGCATAAGTGGCCGGCGCAGCGTGCTTAAGGCCGGTGAGTACGTCGGTCGGTTTTAAACCTTAGACCTCACATGGACGGAGAAAGGTGAGAACATGCTTGGTCGGCGGCCGCATCACGACCATAAATGGCACACAGCAAACCCCATGCACTATCTTACGGCGTACTGAGGCACTGCCGGTGTTGGAGAAAGAGCTCTTGCATGGTTTAATGCACCCATAATATCACTCTCCAGCGCGTTGCTATCAGCTCAACACGCTTTTTGATGCAACAAACTACGTTACCTTCGGTTCAGAACTGCTATGTTTCTACATATTACAGCTATGGCTTATGTTTACAGCTGAAGTGTCTAAAATGAAATTTCACAATTTTCCACTATGCCCGAAATTCACATTTTTAGCATCTGCATTCCGCGCCTGAAAATTTTCTGCCCTACAGTCCAGAACCCCCAACCAGAAATCCAACACTGGATGATATATTTCTTAGCCCGGGCTAAGCGGGTGACGGATCAGCGTCCGCATAACGAGCGTGCTTAGCGGCATTGGTTGATTATCTCGGATTTCGGGCGTTGCGACTTTCTCGTTGTATGACGATCATGTT